GAAATAAACAAAATTGCCAAATTTGATTAAAATATATCCATAATCAAGCTAACTCAATAGTTTATTTATTCTCCATGAAAATAACAAGGGAATTTTAAATTAAAGTTTTTTTTTAATTAACTTTGTACTAGTTAGGCATACAACAACGCTTCAATATACAAAATAATTTCTGTTTTTAAGCTCTACAAAATGGTCAGGAAAGAAATTGTGGAATTTTATGTTTTTAGAGTTGAAAATGGGAAAACCAATTTTTACACCATAAAACCCCCATTCCTATAGTCCGATCATGCTGGTTTGCAAACTCATTTGAATAAACATAGGTTTACACGTTTGCACCAAATTTCATCAAAATTGGATAATTTGTGCTCGAGTTATCAAGCTAACGGGCACGTATGCTTTTGAGCGGAGGGTGTTTTTGGCCTCTGGGGACCCCAAAGCAAAAAAAGTAAAACTGTCCCTGATGGTCTAGGTCTTACCATGGGACCTACGGTAAAACCAGCCGTTTAGACCATTCCCTTTAAAAAAAAACCTGTAAATTCCATTGGTATAAAACACACAAAATAAAATGCTCTTTTGGTAGTAAGGTTCATCTCTCTGAATGTTTGCACTTCTGGGCCCCACAGAACCCAAAGCTCTGACTATGACCGTGGAGAGGACAGTCTCGATTTGCAGCGGAACGGTCATGTAAAAAAATAAGCAAAACCAAGTCTCTTTTCTTCATGTCTACTACCACACAAATGGTTATATATTTAATTGGGCCTTCCTAAAATATGTGAGAGGTAAAGTAATATCACAAACCAAGACTCCGTACATCACACATTTTGTGTGAAAACAGTCGTTTTGTTAGTTTTGGTTGTGTTAAAACGCGAGACTGACTCTTTTCTAAAAGGGAAAATATAATTTTCTAAATTTAATTTATTTAAATTACTTTAAATAAACTAAAAAAAACAGAACAAAATTCTTCAAATTCTAATCAGAAGTATTCAAGTAGTCCAGTCAAGGAATGAGGTGTAGAGTGCGTGAGCAGGTAACTAAGCGATTCCTTCAGAAACTTGTTCAGGGGGCTTAGGGTGTTAACATACCAAAAGTCCTGACTCCTAGGTGGTGAGCCAGGGGGTGGAGGGGGGAAAAGGGGGGGGGGAGATAGGTACGCATTTTGGGTTTTTTGATTATATCTTGAAAACTATCAACTTTTTGTATACTATAGTAAATTATAAAATTGAAGAAGATTAAATTTTCTACAAGAAAAGTATATAATGTGTTTATTTTGGTTCAACAGATTACGAGTTATAACTTATTTAATTGATATCTTATTAAAATACTCCTTCCATAAGAAATACATGTAAATTAGTATGCGAAATGGGGCGAATCCTATCCGCCCAAAGGAAATATAAATGATATTCTGGAAATCTTGACAAAATTTCTAGTAATTTGACACTTTAATCATTAAAATTGATCCAAAATTAAGGCGAGGGCGAGGTAACAAAATGTCGAGTTTTGGTGTTTTTTTATTGGAAATATAAAAAAAACCTTAAATCATCCCATTTTTAAACGCTCACCCTCGCTTTAATTTTTGACAAAATTTCATGATTTAAGTGTCAAATTACTGGAAATTTTGTCAAGATTTCCAGATTATCAGTTATATTTCCTTTGGGCGGATAGGGTTCGCCCCATTTCGCATACTAATTTACATGTATTTCTTATGGAAGGAGTATTTTAATAAGATATCAATTAAATAAGTTATAACTCGTAATCTGTTGAACCAAAATAAACACATTATATACTTTTCTTGTAGAAAATTTAATCTTCTTCAATTTTATAATTTACTATAGTATACAAAAAGTTGATAGTTTTCGAGATATAATCAAAAAACCCAAAATGCGTACCTTTTTCCCCCCTCCACCCCCTGGCTCACCACCTAGGAGTCAGGACTTTTGGTATGTTAACACCCTAAGCCCCCTGAACAAGTTTCTGAAGGAATCGCTTAGTTACCTGCTCAAGCAATCTACACCTACTTTTGGATCATTCATTGACTGGACTAAAGGGCAACTATCAATCAATCAAAAGAAAACAGTCATTGCAAAAGTAAACAAAAATATGTGATCCATTAATTAAAATACTCACCTGGACACAGTCCATTTACAACATGTGTTGTTTACTTTCAATCCTACTAATATTATAAATGAGAAAGTTTGGATGTATGGATGTATGTTTGTGACAAGTAAACGCGAAAAATACTGGTCGGATCGGGCTGAAATTTGGTGTGATGATAGTTCACATTCCCGATTAACATATAGACGCATTCTTATCTCAAAAGTCCCTTTCGGGCTCCGCCCCAGTGGCCCTGGAGTTTCCCATGTTAACCTTATGAGTAATCATATTTAAAAGGAATAAAAGAATTTTGTCAGCTGTTTCAACTACACAAGTTGGTTCTATGATATTAAATAGCATTAAAAAGTTATAAGGTTTACCAATAGGGTACAGTACTATTAATTTTTTGCATTTTGTGTCCTCTTCCCGTTGCAAAGCACGGGTACAACAGCTAGTCTTCTATACAGTGTGTAAATTAAGTATGGAAACAAATCTGTATTTTTAAAACCGAAATAGATAGAAATATTCTATTTGTGGCAATAATAGTTAACAAAAATTCCGCAATTTTTCACATGAAAAATATTTTTTTACCCCCCTAACAGGGTAGGTGGTAGGGGGTGACTTATTTTTTTCAAAAACCCCTATTGAGTGACCCCTCATTTTGAAGGGTTTGTCAAAAGAAACACAATGACGCAAATCCGAGGTGAATATCTCACTCCTAGCTAACATGGCGGATATTCCAAAATGGGCTTTTTTTTACAAAAATTAAATTTTTCATTACCCACCATTTAGGCTAGGGGTGAAATATCTAGGTACCTCGGGTTTGCGTCATTCTTTTTCTTTTAACAAACCCTTCAAAATGAGGGGTCACTCAATAGGGGTTGTTGTTGAAAAAAATAAGTCACTCCCACCCCCTACCCTGTTAAAGTGTAAAGTGTTAAAGTGTGTATTATTTCGGTTTTAAAAATACAGATTTGTTTCCATACTTAATTTACACACTGTATAATTAATAAGCAAACAAGAAATTTGTCTTTTGAACTCCTCCGCCATTTCTTAAGCGATTTTGACTATTCGCGTCTCATTAGAAAGAGTGTGTTGTGTAGATTTACAAACTGGCCTTACATTTTTTTAAGTCCCTTGGGCTCTGTCCCAGTGGCTTTCAAAGTCCCCATGTTATTCTTATGAAGAACAATTTTTTTTTACATTATGATTAGCTGGATAATTTAATTGCTATTAATATTTATTTTTCCTACAGTCACCCGACAAAGTGGGCTTCCTTGCACAGGTATGCTTCCATGCACCTACGGTAATAGCTACTTCCCTATAGGGACATTTGCTAATAATACTTCCCTAGGGAAATTCGCTTAAGATGCCTCTAAGTTCTAAACAGTGGCGTAACAGAAGGGTCCGCACTCCGCAGGGCCTGTAATGCGGGGGGGGGGGGAAGCCTGGGAGCCGGGGGCCCCCCGAAAACCGGCGAGCAGAGAGACCCGTGAGACAAGTGTGGCCGAAAAATTGTCGTTCAATCTTATTGAAATATATTATCAATCATTCAATAATTGTATTGAACAAGTAGCTGCGCAGGAATCGTTGATGTTAGCACATATCCTTGTATGTTAGCGCATATATGTTAGCGTATATCCTTAATACTTCTTAAACTTGACTTTAAAAAAAAGTAATAACATAAATGTTATAAATAATAATTGTTGTTATTGTTTAATTTTGTTATGCCTATTCAGTCATATCGAACTGAGGGAAGAGAAGTATTTACACTCTTTGTTTTCGTACACTCTACACTGCTTATGTCTGCTCTGCAAACAAACATTTTGAAACATATAGTTACACAAATAATCCGCAATCTTTGGTATCCAAAGTAAAGTTGATTCCCTATCAAATCCGTGTAGTAGTATTTGTACTCACTAAAAATATTACCATAGATAAAACCATAGACTAACCAACACTATGTTTTATCTATGATAAAACATACTCCCTTAGTGACATATGTATATGTGTATTCTATATGTATATTTATATTATATTATATAATAGTCTATAATAGACTAATCAAAACATTGACTAACCAGTGGATATCTCAGTTCTCATCCCGTTGTTTGAAGCTCGTTTTTCGAGTGTAGTTAATTTCTGGTGACACTGATCGCTAGTGTCAATCAAATTTGTTTATATTATTTGAGCGTTATTTCATGATTGGTGATTTACTGTTTGTTTATTTATCTTGGTGACTAGTTATTGTTTGTGATTAGATTGTTTTATTTGGTTGGGGCCCATTTCATAATAAAGTACAAACTAATATTATTAGTGAATCAGCTGATCGCCCAATGCAAATCTTATGGAAATTACAACTTGTAGTTTATTATGAAATGGGCCCCAGGTGTTAAATCACTGAAATTACAATAAACAAATTGTAAACAAAACACGACCTCCACAGTGCACCGGACAGAACACAGAACTAACAATTAACAATACGATAAAATTAGCTTCAGCTGTTCTATAGGGATGATAAATCTACCAAAGGAGTACCTATGCTCTGTTTTATATAGTTTTATCAATGATAAAACGACAAAACTATGATTTTACCATTACTATAACGTTACAGCGATTAAATATATTTTCAGATAAAAAATAGGAAATACATGCATAAGTTTATAATACAAAGTAAACATACAATTCAACTAGGAGCTACTACTGTTACATGTGATTACATGTAATGATAATACACATTTTTGTTTTAGAAAACAAATAAGCTGGCTAACCTGCACAAGCACAAAACATCTTCTTTGACGAGAGCTGAACTGACTGAACTGGACTGAGTGTGAATAGTGTAGTGGAGTGGATAAACAAACCAAACCGAAACCAGAAACCAAACCAAACCAAAACCAAACCCAAACCTCGTCTTGTCTGTCATGAATCTGGAAGGAAGACGAAGTAGACGACCAAAACGAAAACTTTCATATAGTTAGTTTTAGTTTAGTAATAAAGATGGTAGATGTTTCATGTTATTTATAAAAATATTTAAAGTGCATCGCAGTTTTATTGTATGGCTGTAATCGACATTTGAAGATTTCATTTCCTTAGTTTGTTAAAATCATTTAACTATTGGAGTTTTGATGAATCATTTTCAAGTGCAGCAGAATAATAAAACCTGATATTATAACCTTTGTGGACGCAGTAGACCTGAAAGATTGTTTGGATGTTTCATCGCTAAAAACCCAATAGTTTCAAATCAGGTTAGTATTAATTATGGCAATGCTAGTCTTTTTAAGTCAAAAGACTTCATCATAGTCTAAGTTTATGTTTTATGCTTGCATAATTTTATTGAATTAAACATTGGCCAAGTTGTTGGTTTAGGTATTCTAAAAAATGCACTATTTTCTAACTTAACATCAATCACTTAATTTAACAAAACAGGGATCAAATTATGTTGTAGCTTAAGTTAGTTATTGCTATCTAGAAAAGCCTAGGCCTACAATCCTGCATATGAATAAGTTAGCTTTGGTCATAGGCTTGGTCTGTTAGAGGGAGTCCTTGGTCTATCTTTTTTGGCCATCCTATATAGGTATAGGCCTAATTGTTGTATTGTTAGGCCTATCATATATTAGCCTATATCAATTTATTGTTGGAGTTTCCTTGTTACACATGTAATTTAATTTATTAGTTGCTGATACCTACAGAAAATGATGCACTTACCTATGTAGACATGCTTTAACTATTAGGCACTGTGGGATTATGCACTAACTTATGGCACGTTAGTTAACAGAAGGTGAGGGTTGAAATGAGGAGCATGAGGACGATCATGTCATCGGAGTGGTAGCGGCATAGCCTTTATTCCTTGTATTTTACGAGAAAAATTCAATTTTTCCATTAAACTTTATATAATTATGTTGATGTGATTAATAGTTTTAAAGTACCGGTATCATAGTTGAGTTAGGCCTACTGTATTTTTAAACGGCACCAAAGTCTGTTTGCTTTAACAAATTGAATCGTTGTAGTAGGCTATAAGATTTTGCTTACACGTCGTTGTGTGTGTTTTTGAAATTGAACTATCAGCTGTTTCCATTCCACAAACCTTCCTTCCCTTTAAGTCTTAGTCGCCGCTAGAACTTGGACAATGCCCAAACCACAAATATCTGATAAACCCATCAAAACTGGCTGTATATTCATTATTTAAATGTGCGGCCACTTAGGAATCTTCCTGTCAAAAACTTATTGCATTTTTTGATTCAGTGCGAAAAATACTGTATGTAGACATTATCAAAATTAGCCTACATATATTTCCCAATGTTGATATACGGAACAATTAGCCTACCACGAGTTCTATTATTACAGATGGAAGCTCTAAGACACATCCTAAATTTAGAAAGAACCTCTTGCTAAAAAACAAACAAAAACAATACCGTACCTAGGCCTATTTCAATGATTTGGAAATTTCAACAGTTTCTTGTTTAGGCTATATAATATAAACCACTTTTTAAACAAGTGAAAAATAATGATTTAAAATTAGAGCGACAGCAGGATTTACACAATTACAATAGGCTAGGGCTAGGGCCTACTATATAATTAAAAGAAAATTTCACGATTAAAAAGAATAGGTAAATAAGAAATATATAAGCAAAGTCCCCAGTATATTGGCATTAAATTTTTCCATCAACTCCTAGATGGCATAAGGAAGGAACAGAGTACCGGTACTAATACAGTAGCACCTTGATAAGAAGACCCTTGATAATAAGTCACCCTCGATAAAAAGTGTAGTTTTCAAATCCCCTTGAATTTATTTGACCCCTTATCACATGTTACCTATTACAAACCTCAATAACAAGTCAACCTTGATAGCAAGTCTAATTTTATAATCCCCATGAGAGTCTTGTTAAATCGAGGTTCTACTGTAAATGTAAAAAGGAACTGAAATCATTTTTATTAACTAAATTCATTTTACAGTCTGGATTAGCCTAATTTCTTATTCATTAACTCATAGTTTTTATGCTGCTGTTAATTGTTAAAACCTATGCTAAAATTATTATTGAGAAGTTACAAACTTAGTTTAAAATATCATTGTGATTGTCGTGACACAAGAAATAATAGCCTTACAGTGATATATGTCAGATTTATAATCCAAACAAAGATGCTTTTTAATCGATTTATATTTGTAATAATTATTTCTCCAGTGACTGGCAGAGCGGCCTGCCCTACCTGTTATTTGTAATATTTCCCCACCAGGCAGGAGAGCATGTGACGTTGCCAATGCCTACCTGGCTAAAATGCTAATCTTAAACATAACATAACTGAACCAAACCTCTAGTATGTTAGCAAACTTCTTTTGATGTCAGAAAAGGCATGTCTAGGCCTAAGGGCTTTAATGTGAATTCTTGACTACCGTTATATTAAGTCCTTTTGAAGGTAGGTTGGATTAGGTAAGGGAAAGCTTAGGCTATAATGAACCTAGTTGTTGTAATCTCTCAACTTTTTTGTACAATTATAACCCTTAGAAAAATATTGCAAGATAAAACTTAATAAATGCAAGCAGCGTCATTCCCTTCCCTGTCTGGACCACCCCAAAAATTCTTCTATTTAATAGGCCTAATAGGAACTGATTACAAAAATGTTGCTTACTCCCATGGGCATGGATAGCCTAGGTGGTACCTATTTGGCCTCGCCAACAAGTTGCCTTCATCTTTCCCTGTTCTCTGAATCTTCTTTCCTTGCTCTCAATTTTAGCAAAATTTTCTCCACCTGGTCCGTTCATCGATTCTTGGGTCTTCCTCAGGGTATTTTCATGCTGGGTTTTGCCTTCAAACTTCTTTAATCTCCCCATCATCCCATCTTCCCTCCTAAATAAATGGCCAGCCCACCTTAGTCTTCTGCTCTTTGCTTCTCATACTATGTCCGAGGAATGGTACATGTCTCTTATTTCTTGGTTGTGCCTAATTCTTCATTGTTCTCCCTCTCTTATGTCCAAATATTTTCCTGAAAATTCGGTTGAAATTAAAAGAATCCAACTTCTTTTCTGTTTGTTTGTCTACAATCCATGCCTCTGCTCCATAAAGCAGGATTGGTCAAGCTTATGATAGTCTTGTAACTCTTAATTTTGTTTTATGTGACAGTAATTTTGATTTTAAAATGTTGTTTAATGGATGTTTAACTACATGTTTTAACTTGCCAATTTTTTCTATTTTTAATTTCTATTACTTTATTACTATTTGAATTAACTATTGCAAAAATGTTATAATAAATAATTTCTTGCTCAAGGATAATTTTTTGTTTTCAGCTGGTGAAAATCCACACAGTTTAAAAGATGTTTTGGAATTATAATCAGTCTTCTTCTCCTCAAATAGACAATGTATTCTGCAAAGAGGTAAGATTATATCAGAGGTTTATTGTTGTTTTTTTTAATAACACTCCTATTAGTGTCAAGTATCATATACATGCCAAGTCATCGTAAATCTTACTGTACCGTAATTGTTTGCTTAGTTAGTAGCCTATGCTGTTTAAAACGTTTAGGTTATTAATTAAAACCTAGCATTTTTTACTTTACAAACCAAATTTCCATTGTGTATAGGCCTATAGCTAAAACCACAGATAATATAACCCCTACTACAGATATCTGGCTGAGGCCGCTAGGCCGCTGCGGCTGAGGGACGTGCGGGGAGGGAGGAAATAGTTAAATTTTTACTCGCAAGGTGTCGTGAGCGTCCTCGGTGCGGTGCAGTGCTGTGCCGTTGCCGTAGCTTACGTTGTCAGATGTGTTGTCACGTCACTCTACTACCGCATCAGTGCTGGAGCTTATAGGTACAAACATCTAGCTTGCTCTTGGTGATAACAAGACGATAACTGAATAGAGATATTGTGTTCACTAATCTCTCTACATGACACTTCATTATGTCAAGTTTTGAATATTGATATGCAACTTGTTCAATCTTTATTCGAAATATAACATAGTTGTACGCGAACCTTTTGAGTTCATTATTTATTTTAAGTTTTCATGTTTTTATTTTGATATAACATACATAAAGTACTAATTTTTAAAGCTACTATCAGTTACCCGGCATGGAGGAATATATGTAGGTGGAGAAATATATAGGTTTTTAGGCGTACATACTCTAACTTACTACATATATACAAAAACACACAAATTAATTGAATATATATCACAGTCAAATAACGTTATCACAAAATAACTTTTACCTACGACCATTTTTTTAAGTAGCCATTTCAGTTCAGTTCTTAGAATTGAAAAGTTTCACTTAACAGCTGTTTACTTTCATATCAGCATAGTTTCATTTCATATCAGCATAGTTTTTCTCATATCAACACGGGTAACGGACCAATGAGATTCAAGGATTGAGAGAAAAGAAGTAAAATTAAAATGTTTCGAACGTCAACTAATCAGCTGATCAGTTGACAATTTTAATTGTTGGTCCGTCTTGTTCAATGTTCCTGTTGATAATCGCGTAATTTTAACCTAAGTTGGTGGTTAAAGGAAGGTAGATTAAACTGATTTAAAAATTTCAGTTTTAGTGAAAGTGAAGTTGACGAGATGGAAATGAGAGCACAAACTGTTTGTGCTAATCTTTTGCCACCAAAATCGAAACAAATGTATGAAATTACATACCAGCAATTCATTAAATGGACGAAACAAAATAAGGTTAGATTGTTAAATAAAAATGAGCTTCAGGTTTATTTTGAAAACCTTTTAACCGTTGTTTCACCCAACTCGTTGTGGACGACATATTCGATGCTGAGACCCAACTGTAAATTAACTGTTACACTACATTGTTCAGTTGTCCAAATAAATATGCAATATTTCCCTAACTGTAACTGATACAGTATTTATGGTGAGAATGCTGCTAGAAGAAGCTATTGCCTGCAAAAAAATAGTAACGTATTATTTAACGAAATTTTACAAACACGTAATTACATGAAAACAGCTGATTATACAATAAGTCGTTGCATCACTTTCAGTGGCAATGACAATCAACGAAAACATAACCTCTCTAAGAAGTTATGAGTAATGATTGTTAGTAATTAAAAAACAGATTGTTAGTACTTAAAAAACTGTCGTAGGTAAAGTAGTGTACGCAACTCGCGTTAATAGTCTTTACGACACTCGTAGAAGATTTTAAGGCACTCGCCAAGGCCCGTGCCTTAAATTTTCTACTTGTGTCGTAAAGACTAACTTAACGCAATCGTTGCGTAAACTACTATTACGGTACTGATATGTTTAAACCCGGCAACAAGGTTTAAAATTCAACAACACGCGTGCGTGGTGGTGTAGGTGTACCGAGGTGTACTCAGTAGTGTCGGGTAGGTCAGTTTAGTGCGACCACACTTCTTGATTTTTCGGCGAGGAACGGAGACAGAAGCAGAGGCGCTATCACAGCGTAGTGAGGTCAACATGACCTCCTCTGACCTGTCTCTCCTCTGCCCCCCTACCCAGCGTGGTGTGCAGTGCTAGCAGCGCTCCTAGATGTTGGCGGGCAAACTAAGCTGTCCTAGTGCAGCACGTTGCCGCCATCAGCCAGATATCTGTAGTAGGGGTTATATTATCTGTGCTTTTAGCTTCAGTTCGCTGTACTGCTAGTACTATTTCTTCTGCCTCTCTCCGCCTTCAGTCAGCTTTCAGCTTGATGTTTAAAAAAACAGTACTGCCACTCTAAGCACATCAATTACATGTTCAGTTTTATTTTAGTTTATTTTATTTTAGTTTTTGTATTTAGTTATTTAGTTATTTATTTTTATTTATATTATTTAGTTATTTAGTTTATTTTTAGTTTTGAATTCTTACATATACAAAAATGGCCAATAAGACCCTTTACTTAATATATTTATTAAATAAATGGAGACGTGTATCAATATTTAAATTCGTATGAATATATTTAAGTTCAAAAATATATCTCAAAATTGCATGGCCATAATACAATAATACTGTAATCAATTACCCAATAAAAACTACATTATCGCCTTTAATTAAACTATGTACGTGCAACATCAATAAAGAAGTTTTGATTGATTGATATACTTATAATGTATAGTTTGATGGTTTCATTACACACTAAATACTAAATGTAGGTAAACCGTTTGGGGAGTGTTGCACGACGTCCAAGTGCCACGACGTCCAATAATATTTTTCCAGTGCCACGACGTCCAAAACATCATTTTTGAGTTGTTGCACGACGTCCAAGTGCCACGACGTCCAAAAGTACAGTAACTGCCAAAAATATAGTCTTTCTACAAGCTTTGGACGTCGTGGCACTTGGACGTCGTGAAACAGCGCACTATAGAATTGTAAAGAAGTATCATTTGCACCACGTCCAAAGCCTCTGCCAGTTGCACGACGTCCAAGTGCCATGACGTCCAATCAATATTTGACTGTTACACGACGTCCAAGTGCCACGACGTCCAAAGTGCCTGCGCACTGAGAACACTGTTTGCCGACCTCAGTGCATACAGTTCGCATTGCAATTATTGAAGGCAACTAGGCCTAGTCAACTGTTTGAAAGTTGTCAACCACTTCGTCTTCGATTAATGTTTAAATTATTCAATATTCAATGGTTCTAATTGAACTAATTATTGCATTAGCTTAAATTTTTATATGTAAAATAAATACTATGTCACCGTAAAATGTAATGATGCAGTATTTCTGTTGTTATGATTGCATAATTGATTTCTACAAAATAGAGCTATGTCATAGAAACGAAATAAATAAATTACTACACTATTCACTATATTGTATGATTAATACAATAAATTAATCACTAGCCCAAAAGTAAATATGGTAGGTTTAATGTGAGTAGTGGTAGAAATAGAATTGTCATACTATATCAATTGGTAGCAAATTTACTCGTTAGATAAAATGTATGCACAGTTTTATAACAGCTGTAAGACTTCCCATTTAAGTACCGGTATCATTGAAATTGTATAACTTCCATTGAACAGAAATGAGATAATTAGATATTGATACACAGATATATGAATTTTCATACACTTATAATATGACGAATTCAAAAAAGGATTATCCGTCAAATGTGCTAAATATTATGTAAACTATCACTTATCAACTTTTTAAGCTATAATGGTGTTACTACAATGGTTAAAAATGTTTCCTGTGAAACATGTATTTTTTAAACTAAAAGAAGGTTTTCTTTTAGTACAAACCTTGCTCTATTAGTGCATACTAAAAATAATTTCACAATTTTACGAGATCAATGTTTGACAACAGATGGTTGAAGCAGATATTCAGAGAGTGTCTCCAGCTGATGCAGTAATAAAAACGTATTTTAGCCATAGCACAGACAATATATAATACTATAATAGTAATCTATCTATCTATACTATTATAAAGAAGAGGTGGTGTCTGTGTGTGTGTGTGTGTCTGTGTGTTTGTATGAGATAATCTAAAAAAGTACTGAACCGACTGGGCTCAAATTGCACGCAAATGAAGCTACAGCTCCGAGGATACATATTATACAACTATTCCCTCTTCGTTATTGTCCTAGGGCTCTGCCCCGTGGGCTTTCAAAAATTTGAGGTGAGAGATTTTAAAATATTGATTGATGGTATCCATGGTAACAAGAGCAAACCTACATCATTTAAAAATGTAAAAAACCAGAACTAACTGTCAAATGAATTTTGATTTCACAATTTCACACAGCTGGTTCAAACATCCTTATATATAATCCTTATATATAATCATATATAATACGTGAAGGCGATTTCTACGAAACACTACTCCTCCGTTAATAATGGACGGATTTTTACAAACGACGTGTCAAAATAAAGTATTTTTTGTATAGACGCCCCCTTTCACCAATTCATGTAGTAGAAATCCTCGGGCTTTGCCCCACAGGCCATCAAAGATGGAGTTTCTCCTATAAGATTGTATCACGACCGTCTATACTTCTCGTGATAATAATACTTAGGAATGATCTAAATTGGTAACATTTTATTTGAACATGTCTTTTGTAAGAAGTCTCTAACACTAATAACAATATTTGTTTACATCTGATCATAATAATATAATATCCTAAATAAAACATATGTTTTATTTACAGTCTTGAAACATCCCCCTCCTTAAAGGTCGAGTCTCCTTGGAGGATGTACTTGACGTCCGTGTCTAGTCTTGTAACTTGAGTTGTCCTCTTGTGGTTTTGGACTTCTGGTAAAGACACTTGTTGAATTTTGTTCTGTCACATTGTCTCGTGATGGTGTACTTTTCAAGTCATCGGGAAATGGTAGAAGATGGAAACGGTTTCTTCTTAGGTCTCTTGTATCAGTCCTGACAATATATGATCGTGGCTCAGTTGCTGTTTTTACAACCGTTCCAGGTTTTCCCACGTCAGATATCCAAACGCTATC